GTACCCTCCTGTACTCGCACTTCTGTACCCTCCTGTACTCACACGTTTGTACCCTCCTGTACACATAATTTTGTACCCTCCTGTACTCGCACTTCTGTACCCTCCTGTACTCACACGTTTGTACCCTCCTGTACACATAATTTTGTACCCTCCTGTACTCGCACTTCTGTACCCTCCTGTACTCACACGTTTGTACCCTCCTGTACACATAATTTTGTACCCTCCTGTACTCGCACTTCTGTACCCTCCTGTACTCACACGTTTGTACCCTCCTGTACTCGCACTTCTGTACCATCCTGTACTCACACGTTTGTACCCTCCTGTACTCGCACTTCTGTACCATCCTGTACTCACACGTTTGTACCCTCCTGTACACATAATTTTGTACCCTCCTGTGCTCGCACTTTTGTAATCAAAAACTCTCGACGGTACTGAATCGAAAGTCATTCGTCTTTCATCTTCGTCTTGTCATCTTCCTCACTTTCATCTTCGTCTTTATTATCTTCCTCACTTTCATCTTCGTCTTTATTATCTTCCTCACTTTCATCTTCGTCTTTATTATCTTCCTCACTTTCATCTTCGTCTTTATTATCTTCCTCACTTTCATCTTCGTCTTGATCATCTTCCTCACTTTCATCTTCGTCTTTATTATCTTCCTCACTTTCATCTTCGTCTTGATCATCTTCCTCACTTTCATCTTCGTCTTTATTATCTTCCTCACTTTCATCTTCGTCTTGATCATCTTCCTCACTTTCATCTTCGTCTTTATTATCTTCCTCACTTTCATCTTCGTCTTGATCATCTTCCTCACTTTCATCTTCGTCTTTATTATCTTCCTCACTTTCATCTTCGTCTTGATCATCTTCCTCACTTTCATCTTCGTCTTGATCATCTTCCTCACTTTCATCTTCGTCTTGATCATCTTCCTCACTTTCACTCAACTAACATTTCTGGGTATTAAGCTCCTTACCTGAGTCTTTGCCTAACATTTACAAGTATGAGTTACGTGATTGGCTGTACCACTCATCATGTGTGGGTATGAGTTACATGATTGGTTGTACCACTCCCCATGTGTGGGTATGAGTCACGTGATTGGTTGTACCACTCACCATGTGTGGGTATGAGTTACGTGATTGGTTGTACCACTCACCATGTGTGGGTATGAGTTACGTGATTGGTTGTACCACTCACCGTATGTGGGTATGAGTTACGTGATTGGCTGTACCACTCACCATGTGTGGGTATGAGTTACGTGACTGGCTATACAACTCATCATGACTGACTGTGTCACTACTAGAGTGGTGGCTGTGTAAGCTCGATCAGTAATTATCAAGATAAACAATCTGTGGCTGTTTAAATAATTAAACCAACATTAATTAGCATTTAAACCATCATCATCATCATTAGGAAATACATATATTACACAGCAATATATCATTTACAAAAATTATGTCATAATTAGTAAAAATGCTAATTATAGTATTGTTAATACAATGAGTGAGCAGGTAGTGGCAGCAGGAACAGGAAACTGAGCAGGTAGTGACAGCAGGAACAGGAAACTGAGCAAGTAGTGGCAGCAGGAACAGGAAACTGAGCAGGTAGTGACAGCAGGAACAGGAAACTGAGCAAGTAGTGGCAGCAGGAACAGGAAACTGAGCAGGTAGTGGCAGCAGGATCAGGAAACTGAGCAGGTAGTGGCAGCAGGAACAGGAAACTGAGCAGGTAGTGGCAGCAGGATCAGGAAACTGAGCAGGTAGTGGCAGCAGGAACAGGAAACTGAGCAGGTAGTGGCAGCAGGATCAGGAAACTGAGCAGGTAGTGGCAGCAGGATCAGGAAACTGAGCAGGTAGTGGCAGCAGGAACAAGAAACTGAGCAGGTAGTGGCAGCAGAAGCAGGAAACTGAGCAGGTAGTGACAGCAGAAGCAGGAAACTGAGCAGGTAGTGGCAGCAGGAACAAGAAACTGAGCGGGTAGTGGCAGCAGGAGCAGGAAACTGAGCAGGTAGTGGCAGCAGGAACAAGAAACTGAGCAGGTAGTGGCAGCAGGAACATGAAACTGAGCAGGTAGTGGCAGCAGGAACAGGAAACTGAGCAGGTAGTGGCAGCAGGATCAGGAAACTGAGCAGGTAGTGTCAGCAGGATCAGGAAACTGAGCAGGTAGTGGAAGCAGAAGCAGGAAACTGAGCAGGTATTGACAGCAGGATCAGGAAACTGAGCAGGTAGTGGCAGCAGGATCAGGAAACTGAGCAGGTAGTGGCAGCAGGAACATGAAACTGAGCAGGTAGTGGCAGCAGGAACAAGAAACTGAGCAGGTAGTGGCAGCAGAAGCAGGAAACTGAGCAGGTAGTGGCAGCAGGAACAAGAAACTGAGCAGGTAGTGGCAGCAGGAACATGAAAGTGAGCAGGTAGTGGCAGCAGGAACAAGAAACTGAGCAGGTAGTGGCAGCAGGAACAGGAAACTGAGCAGGTAGTGGCAGCAGGATCAGGAAACTGAGCAGGTAGTGTCAGCAGGATCAGGAAACTGAGCAGGTAGTGGAAGCAGAAGCAGGAAACTGAGCAGGTATTGACAGCAGGATCAGGAAACTGAGCAGGTAGTGGCAGCAGGATCAGGAAACTGAGCAGGTAGTGGCAGCAGGAACATGAAACTGAGCAGGTAGTGGCAGCAGGAACAAGAAACTGAGCAGGTAGTGGCAGCAGAAGCAGGAAACTGAGCAGGTAGTGGCAGCAGGAACAAGAAACTGAGCAGGTAGTGGCAGCAGGAACATGAAAGTGAGCAGGTAGTGGCAGCAGGAACAAGAAACTGAGCAGGTAGTGGCAGCAGGAACAGGAAACTGAGCAGGTAGTGGCAGCAGGAACAAGAAACTGAGCAGGTAGTGGCAGCAGGAACAGGAAACTGAGCAGGTAGTGGCAGCAGGAACAGGAAACTGAGCAGGTAGTGGCAGCAGGAACAAGAAACTGAGCAGGTAGTGGCAGCAGGAACAGGAAACTGAGCAGGTAGTGGCAGCAGGAACAGGAAACTGAGCAGGTAGTGGCAGCAGGAACAAGAAACTGAGCAGGTAGTGGCAGCAGGAACAGGAAACTGAGCAGGTAGTGGCAGCAGGAACAAGAAACTGAGCAGGTAGTGGCAGCAGGAACATGAAACTGAGCAGGTAGTGGCAGCAGGAACAAGAAACTGAGCAGGTAGTGGCAGCAGGAACAGGAAACTGAGCAGGTAGTGGCAGCAGGAACAGGAAACTGAGCAGGTAGTGACAGCAAGAACAAGAAACTGAGCAGGTAGTGGCAGCAGGAACATGAAACTGAGCAGGTAGTAACAGCAGGAACAAGAAACTGAGCAGGTAGTGACAGCAGGAACAAGAAACTGAGCAGGTAGTAACAGCAGGAACAAGAAACTGAGCAGGTAGTGACAGCAGGAGCAAGAAACTGAGCAGGTAGTGACAGCAGGAACAAGAAACTGAGCAGGTAGTGGCAGCAGGAACAAGAAACTGAGTAGGTAGTGACAGCAGGAACAGGAAACTGAGCAAGTAGTGGCAACAGGAACAAGAAACTGAGCAGGTAGTGACAGCAGGAACAGGAAACTGAGCAGGTAGTGACAGCAGGAACAGGAAACTGAGCAGGTAGTGACAGCAGGAACAGGAAACTGAGCAGGTAGTGACAGCAGGAACAAGAAACTGAGCAGGTAGTGACAGCAGGAACAGGAAACTGAGCAGGTAGTGACAGCAGGAACAAGAAACTGAGCAGGTAGTGACAGCAGGAACAGGAAACTGAGCAGGTAGTGACAGCAGGAACAAGAAACTGAGCAGGTAGTGACAACAGGAACAGGAAACTGAGCAGGTAGTGACAGCAGGAACAAGAAACTGAGCAGGTAGTGGCAGCAGGAACAAGAAACTGAGCAGGTAGTGACAGCAGGAACAGGAAACTGAGCAGGTAGTGACAGCAGGAACAAGAAACTGAGCAGGTAGTAACAGCAGGAACAAGAAACTGAGCAGGTAGTGACAGCAGGAACAAGAAACTGAGCAGGTAGTGACAGCAGGAGCAAGAAACTGAGCAGGTAGTGACAGCAGGAACAAGAAACTGAGCAGGTAGTGACAGCAGGAACAAGAAACTGAGCAGGTAGTGACAGCAGGAACAAGAAACTGAGCAGGTAGTGGCAGCAGAAGCAGGAAACTGAACAGGTAGTGGCAGCAGGAACAGGAAACTGAGTATGTAGTGTCAGCAGGAACAGGAAACTGAGCAGGTAGTGACAGCAGGAACAAGAAACTGAGCAGGTAGTGACAGCAGGAACAAGAAACTGAGCAGGTAGTGGCAGCAGAAGCAGGAAACTGAGCAGGTAGTGACAGCAGGAACAAGAAACTGAGCAGGTAGTGGCAGCAGAAGCAGGAAACTGAGCAGGTAGTGACAGCAGGAACAAGAAACTGAGCAGGTAGTGACAGCATGAACAGGAAACTGAGCAGGTAGTGATAGCAGGAACAGGATACTAAGCAGGTAGTGACAGCAGGAGCAGGAAACTGAGCAAGTAGTGACAGCAGAAACAGGAAACTGAGCAGGTATTGACAGCAGGATCAGGAAACTGAGCAGGTAGTGGCAGCAGAAGCAGGAAACTGAGTAGGTAGTGTCAGCAGGAACAGGAAACTGAGCAGGTAGTGACAGCAGGAGCAGGAAACTGAGCAGGTAGTGACAGCAGGAGCAGGAAACTGAGCAGGTAGTGACAGCAGGAACACGATACTAAGCAGGTAGTGACAGCAGGAGCAGCAAACTGAGTTCAGTGAACGGAGAGTATTGCAGCAGGAACAGCAGGCAGAATTAAAAGTAGAAGCAGCGTCAGGAAGCTGTGAGAGTCAGTGTGTGAGAGAGTGAGAGAGATTGTGTGTGAGTGTAAGAAAAATTGTGAGAGTGAGAGACAGTGTCGGTGAGTGTCTATGGGAGAATGTGAAAGAGAACGTGTGAGAGAGAATGAGTGTAAGAGTATGTGTGCGAGAGATAGTGTGAAAGAGAATCTCTCACCTGGCACTCGTAGGTACCATTGTCTCTGGCTTGTAGGTACTTGATAGAGAGCGTCCAGTCATCAGCACCGTCACGGTGAGTGATGGAGAACCTCTCATCGTTGGTGTAGGTAAACACACCAGAGGTCAGCACGTGCCAGTCCCGACGTCGAATCCACGAAATCTGACACAAGAGAAAAAAAAAGTATTTTTTAATACATTAATTATGGAGCGCAAAATGCGCAGGGGTGATACAGTGCCAGGCACTTGCAGTCGAAATAGAAAAAGTACTCGAGGAAGTCCTTATCAGACGGCATCTTCAGGCCATAATGAGAAATGTTACCACCAAAATTACAGACATTGCTACTCCCACAGGTTATAATTCTGAAGCACCTCGAGAGATAGACCAGCCACGACAAATAACTTTAGCCTGGTGGCTAAAGCTCCCGCTTCACACACGGAGGACCCGGGTTCGATTCCCGGCGGGTGGAAACATTTCGACACGTTTCCTTACACCTGTTGTCCTGTTCACCTAGCAGCAAATAGGTACCTGGGTGTTAGTCGACTGGTGTGGGTCGCATCCTGGGGGACAAGATTAAGGACACCAATGGAAATAAGTTAGACAGTCCTCGATGACGCACTGACTTTCTTGGGTTATCTTGGGTGGCAAACCCTCTGGGGTTAAAAATCCGAACGAAATCTTATCTTATCTAACTGGATCATTTACAAAGTCACACTGTCACAGTGTAACTTTGTAAATGGTCCAAGTCGAACTGAAAAGTCGTCGTAAGCTCCTCTCTCTGTGCGCGAGTTATTCGTTTATTCGGCGCATGTCACACTGCAATAAAGACAACCTCCGGACCAGTGAACCGGGTGCTAAGGATTTAATGATCAATAGTGACACCATTGTTATATCAGTACCACGGTTCATCGGCCAATCACAGACAAACCCGTCAAAGCTGTGAAACAATGTGGTTCACTTGTGAAGTGAGCATTGGCAGACTTGTCTGGGCTGCTGGTTGTATATAGCACATTGTCTGGCTCACGCATTTTTCCTCATGTGTTCACCATGTTTTATACTCTTTTACTGTACATAGTGTAAATAGTGTACGTATTGTAAATACCAGTTTTGGTGTAGGAAATACGTCATATACTACCGTTAAGTTATGATTGCTCCACTTTGGTCCCATTACAACCAGGTGCGCAGGACATTCCATATCTGTGTTCGTAAGTAACACCTAAACACAGTCCATTTTTTAAAGATTTAAAATGCAGTGCAAAGACAGAATGAACCGAACAGACAGACAAGGCATTCTTCTCACTCGTTATAATTACATGCTAACCCATTACTCTAAACCAGTAACCAAATGGCAAGCTTTAGCTATTAGCAGGATTAATTTCACCTCAGGGATATACTCATTTATTTTAAGGGAATATATAACTCAGGAGGAGCGTTGAGCACAGTGGAATTAATTATATTATTATGTAGACCAGCTACAAGCTCCAGCGATCATTACTGGTGATCGTAGTCAAACGTCCCAACAGGGAACAGAGACGTTCCGTGTTGGGACGTTTGTGACTTGATAAAGGCCACTGTGTGGGCGAAACGTTGCCAATAAAGGATCACATTATACTGCTTAAGTGTTTATATTTCCATTGTGTCGGTATTTTATACCATTTATTTCCACGGAACAGAGACACACAATACAGCAGAACTTGATCTATAACTACCTCACCATGTGTTCTTCTCTCGCCAGCAGACCTTCCCACATATTTTAACTAGAAAACTGTTTAGCAAGCATCGCTTGATGTATGTATTGGGTCAGTGCAATTTAAACTTCAAGCTGAGCGCTATTCCGAACTAGACATTAGAAAGGACCACAAATCACTCGTAATGAAATTCCGCAATTACGTATCACTCTCATCCCCATTTTTACCTTCAAAATGGAAGGTTAAAACATTGAACAGAACCCGGCAGGTAATACCGATGATCCATGTTTAGACGACGCAAACCTGGGGTCGACAATATCTGAAATCACAGCAGATTTAAACCATGCTGCTGCATCACTTCTTACTTACATGGTTCAATACCCTGCACGGTTGGGAACATTGGGCATGTTTCCTCACGCTTGCTGTCCCTGTTCACCTAGCAGTAGGTAGGTAGCTTGGAGTTAGTCACTTTACACCTGCTGTTTCGATTTACCTATTAACAAGTAGGTGCCTGGGTGTTAGTCACCTTGCACCTCTTGTCCCTGTTCGCCTAGCAGAAGGTAGGTACCTGGGTGTTAGTCACCTTTCATTTAGCTCTAAGTTATAATAGTCACCTTACACCTGCTGTCACTGCTCACCTAGCAGTAAGTAGGTAGCAGGGAATTTTGCAGGATACTGCGTTGTTGCAATAAATTTGTAATGGAGAAATTTTGTAGTGTGGCGAAGCTACAAAAAATAGAATTAGTGCTGAAGTGAACGCGAACTGAACATCAGATGGACGCGTTCGAAATAAAAGACGTACTGAAAGAGAGGTTTGTGCAGTGACTAGCAGTCGCTGGTACAGCGTGACGAAGCCAACATGGAGCTAACTACCTTAATCTCTTTATTTACTACAAGTACATGTACATGGTGTACAGGCCTAGTTGACATCAATGACATACTACTATATGGAAGCTCCTTGTTATGAGTCTTTGGCTGTAGGCTGGTTTTGAGTTTATCTTTATGCTCATCTAGGCCCAGGTATAGGCTTTGACCTATTGTTGAGTGGGAGTCGGTGTGTTGGGTAGGAGCCAGCTAGGAGAGTGGGGGTTATAGCGGCCCAGCTGGTACCTAGAGTATTGTTTATGGTTTCTGCTCTGTCCTAGTCATAATTAACTAGTAGCGGTGTACTAGTGTATTTTCTGTGAAGTGTGTTGAACGCAAGTTTTGTGTTGTATATATTATTACTGACAATTTAGTAATAGTATACACAAACAATACATGTAACACAAAAATATACCACTCTTAGCTCCTCCTATGCATGGGGGACTTTATACAAACTTTGTAAATACTTTATACATACTCTTAGGTATTACCCCCCTTACCTCCATGTTAATTTCGTAACACTGTGTGTTAGTCACCTTACACCTACTGCCCTTGTTCACCTAGCAGTAAGTAGGTACCTTGTGTTAGTCACCTTATCTGCTATCACTGTTCACGTAGAAGTATGTTGGTACCTGGCTGTTGGTCACCTTACACCTGCTGTCCCCGTTCATATAGCAGTAAGCAGGGACCTGTGTGTTAGTCACAGTAAACCTGGTATCACTGTACTCCTAGCAGTAAGTAGGTTTCTAGCAGTAAGGAGGAATCTGGGTGTTAGTCACCTTACATCTGCTGTCACTGATCACCTGGCAGTAAGTACCTGGGTGTTAGTCACCTTACACCTGCTGTCAGTGTATACCTAGTAGTAAGTAGGTAGGTACCTGAGTGTTAATCACCTTACACCTGCTCTCCCTGTTCACCAAGGAGTTAGTAGGTACCTGTGCGTTAGTCGACTGGTGTGGGTGGCAGCCTGTGGAACAAGAATAAAGGACCAGAATGGAAATAAGACAGACAGTCCTCGGTGATGCACTGACTCTCTTGGGTCATCCTGGATGATTAAAAAATCGAACAGATCAAATGTGGCGTTCTGCTAAACTCGCCAGGGACAAGTAAATACTTTAGTAGATCATCTCGCACTCACACTGTCCACCCCTTTCTTACATAAACAACAAACCTTGTTCACACAGGAAATCAAGTGATAATGTTCACCATCTATGCCGGGTACAGTTCACTACTTACCTCCAGTGAGCTTACCTCACACTCACACAGCTCTCCTCAGGAAAGACAGCCGGTGAAGATAACAGTTTCTATAAACCCATCAAATACAATCGGTCATCTTTACAATCAGCCATTCTCGACTTAATTAACCAGTGCTTGACACAAGTACAACAGAAATTTATAATATTCTCCCTCTTCATAAGCCCTGGAAAAACCCGTCAAAATCAGCATCACAGAAACCTATTTCACTGTTATCCTGCATTAGTAAGGTCAGGAAGTGACTTGGTTACCCACACATTCCATCTTGTCTAGAGAATAATCATTTTGTTCAGTCATTTGAAGTTGATATTAAATACTAGTACTTATCATTAGATCCGCTTCCATTTCTAGAACATAAAATTCACCCATGTTGTTGCAAAACAAGTCTTCTTGAAATATATAATAAAGTGTCTCACATATATCCATAATAACACTGTTAGGAAAATGAACACAGATGTGACCTTTTATCATGGCAACGTTTCCCAACTTTATGACAATAAAATGTCATATTAGTTTCAGCTGTGGCTATTTACCAAACATTTTGTCTGTAATTCTACCATTATTCCACATTAACGCTGGAGTTTCACTAGCATACGTTCTAAGCGCTTTCCGAATCATTTCTTTCCTGTGTTCCACAACACACATCCAGCACACATCTCGGCATATGTAGATCGTTTAATGTTACAGTTTTTCCGACAACGCTTTATTGTTTACTACAGCCACAATACAAAACATAAGAACATAAGAACATAAGAACATAAGAACGAAGGAACACTGCAGAAGGCCTACTGGCCCATGCGAGGCAGGTCCAAGTCTCCTACCGGCTTAAGCCAATGCACCCAACCTAGTCAGGTCAGGTCACATTGACTTAAGGGAGGAACACGGCAACCGACCTGGTAGCACAAGCTATCAGGTCCAACTCACACCCACCCACATCTACTCATGTATTTATCCAACCTATTTTTAAAGCTACACAACGTTCTGGCCTCTATAACGGTACTTGGGAGTTTGTTCCACTCATCCACAACTCTATTACCAAACCAGTACTTTCCTGTATCCTTCCTGAATCTGAATTTTTCCAACTTGAAAACCATTGCTGCGAGTCCTGTCTAGGCTAGATATTTTCAGCACACTATTTACATCCCCTTTATTTATCCTGTCTTCCATTTATACACCTCAATCATATCCCCCTAATTCTACGTCTTTCTAGAGAGTGCAGTTTCAGGGCCCTTAGTCTATCCTCATAGGGAAGGTTTCTGATACATGGGATCAACTTTGTCATCCTCCTTTGTACATTTTCCAGAGAATTTATATCCATTCTGTAATACGGTGACCAAAACTGTGCAGCATAATCTA